GCAGAGGGAGGCTTGTCTTTCATAGTCATCCATCAGTCCTGTGGTTGTCCACAGCCATAGCAAAGTTTAATCTGCGCTAATGCAAAACATTGGTTCAGTAAGTCAGACAGAGCACTAGTTGCCACTGGATCAGGTCATTTCTGTCTGGCCTTTTTCTTTGCTTCTATTTTTCTTCGTTTTAATTCTTAGCATTTTTTTGGATCTTCTTGGATATCTGCTATTCTTTAGCTTACACCTTCTATTTTGTCTCTTTTATAACTCTTGCTGACTGGTCATAGTTTCACTGATTTACTGTAAAGCACCTTGCACTTAACATAAATAATATCAGCCATGCTATTGTTGGGTTTCATCACTGCTAGTCTCTATAGAATTTTCAGTTAGATATGCTTACTCTCAGTCAGTTAAGAATCTGAGAGAGAATGAGAAAGCAAAACAAGCAAGGGTTAAAAAAAAAAAATCAAAGATGGAAAGAAAGAAGTTCACCTAGGTGTTCCTGATGTGAGACATAAATAAGGTTTGGAAGGATGTAGAAAAGTATGTTTACCATTTGCCACATACTTCTACTCTCTCGACCCATGCATTCCCAAGGAACAAAGGAGTTTTTTCCTGAATCAATTCAGAGCAAGGAAAAATGAAGGCTTCTGCTGCCAAACAAAACAAGCAACCCTTCCTCCATTCATCTGCTATCCTCCATCCTTCCTTTAGAGCTGGTTTTGTTTATTTGTACTACAGCTAAAAACACCAGGTGCTAGGTCATTTATATTTGTCTTCAAAAAGGGCCTTGATGTAACAAAAACAAAATTGTCAGTTACAGTTGCATATATCAGTAAATTAGAGCAGACCTGTTTTATGTCAATATATCTTTTGGGATACTATTGGATTGACCATTAGCAGAGTTTTAACACTTTAACTAGTGAGTAGAGAATCTTTTATAGTTTTTCTGTTGTCTCCCTCTATGCTGAGCCATCTTGGATGGAGTGCAAGTGTAAAGCTGGATTCTGTACTGCAATGGAAAATTCAGCTTTTGGCATGTAGTAGGTAACCGGGACTCAATGAAACCCAGATCATCTTCCAGACTGTTAGACTGACTGACCAGATGTAATGATCAATATCGGTAACACACTGGTTATTGTATTGCTGGGATTTAAACAGTCTGTGTTTTGCCTTTGTAGTAGACCAGTGAGCGGTTAGCTGTGCATGGTGAGAGGACAATACCGAAAAGCCAAAAACTTTGCCACACACTTGTGAGCTGTCCACACAGATGTTGGGTTTACTGTTGCTACTTGATATGTGAACTAGCTGAAGCAGGGCAGGAGAGCTTCAGTGAACATTCAGTATATTGTGGAGTCAGTTTAACACTGAATTCAGGGGAGACAGTTTCTAGGCTTTTGAAAGTATTTGATGACTGGTTATTATAAATACTGGGCAACACTAATTTCCCTTTATTATATGGCTCAGCACTGTGCACTTGATCTACAACATGTACAGTATTTGCAGTATGTTTGCTTGGCCTTACGGTGAATGAAGTGTGTTGCAGGTAGGTACTAAAAGCTTCCTGTTCTTATGTGCTGACCTTTAAGATTGTGAAAGTGTGAGCAGTGGGCCAGGAATAGGGGAACACATCACCCTGCTATGCAGCTGATGTAGAACAGGATCTGCCTACACTTGAAGCTTTCAAAACATTGTGTGTATGAAACCAGCTAGATGGGACAAACAGAGATGTTCTTCTAATCTATGTTTGTGTCAGTCTCAAACAGTTTATAATCTGTGTGCCTGGCATTTCTCTCACTGTGGGGACCAAAACCTGTTTTCACACTCACAATGTGGGGACTTGGCCTTTGTCATGGGGACCATTGCAGACAAATTATTCACATTGTTACTACTACTAGTAGTGGTCCTACTACTATTGTTTATTTTACTCTGATTCCTCTGAAACAA